TGCTATTTGATGCTGGTATTAAAAATTTCATTAGTTTATTGTGATAATATTTGTTGTGTGTTGTTTCATATCTCAAGGTTGTTTTACTCAACAGAATCTAGTCACTATCTAAGAAAAATGTTAAACAAGTGCTTTCCATAAAGATATTTTAAGAATTTTGGCATGAGGATGTTCGCTTAGTGTCACTTGGCTTTGTCCTTCTGCATTGATCTTATTGTTACCTCTTGCCAGCATTTATACCCTCACTTCTAGTTGTGTCATGATTTTCTCTTCTATTCTTAATTAAAATTACCATCTTTTCCATCTTAGTACAGTGGGGATGGCAGAGGATCTGGTAGCACAAGTATCTTTGTTGGTGGCTTTGTACTGGGAGGGCTTGTTGTTGGAGCATTGGGTTGCATATATGCTCCCCAGGTATTGAAATATTACCTAGTTTTTGGTTCATTGAGTCAGATAAGTTCTCTTCCACTCTGTGGCATAAAGTTGAGTATAATGGGATATCAGGGGATGGCGTGTGGGATATGAGACTATCTTAGGAAACAATAGAGGTTGTAGTTTTACTCTCATCTTTTAACAATATGTCTAAACGCGACAGTTATCATATAGATAATCTCTTGATGAGGACAAATATTTGTCTATTAGCCGGCTTTATCTATTTGATGTGCTTCTGGGCTCTAAACTGCTGAACAAGTCAATAGGTTGTATATTAAGATGATACTCCATTATCTTGCAGATAAGCAAAGCACTAGCAGGAGCAGATAGAAAAGATCTGATGAGAAAGCTCCCAAAATTTATATACGACGAAGAGAAAGCTTTGGAGGTGAGAACTTGCTCTAGAAATGTCTCTACTTGATTTCTTGAATTTTTTTTAACACTAGGGACAAACTTTGTGACACAATTTTTCATTCTGATGTTAGGCCATGTAGAATGCAAAATAAATCTCTCTCTGTCGGAGTGAATTAGTGTTCCGTTGTTTCTGTATAAACTATAAAGGCCATCTGTGACCCATGCATCTTTTGTTTTGGTTGTTTCACTTTATTACTCTGCAGTCGCTTATGCAGTTCATATTCGTTATACCTGAATTAATCAAAATAACTAACATGTATAAGCTTGCCCACTTAGATAGTAGTAGCATATGCTGAAGCACGTTTAACTTTATCCTCTTGTATTTACCTGCCAACCTTTCTCCTTATCCTCTTAACCTGTGTTTTGAATCAATAGTCCTGCCACCGGTGCTTCCTATTATTTCTGTAGGCACAATGAGCCCTGTGTGCAACACTACTCCTCTTGTGACAAAAAGAAGAAAGAAGCAAAGGAACTTCCAAATAGAAGCTAAAGAAGACAGAAAACCAAAACAAAATATGATGGCACAAATAAAGGGGAAACCACTCATCTTTAGCTCTAATCATCATGTCAGTGAAATAGACACTTTGTTTAGCTTTATATAGTCCTGGTTTATAATGTCTTGTTGGGCAGGGATTTTAAAAAGCTAAAAGTTGTTTTTGAGTTTAAGAAGTTGCTTTTGGGTCATTTGGATAATTTTCTAAAAATGCTTTGCTTGGTTAGAAATGCTTTTAGAAGAAGTTGGCTTAAGGTAACTTCCTCAAGAAACTTTTCTAAGAAGAGAGAAAGTAGAAGCAGAGCTATCCCAAACATATCCTAAGTTTTGTTTGTTCACAATAAATGGTTTATTATTTTTTATATTATTTTATTTATTCCAAGATTATTATTAATAATTCATTTTTATTTAATGAGTTTATTAAACTTAAAAAATAAAAAGGTGTGCGCCTTCTTCATGCCTAGGTCCTGCGTTTTAGAACAGTGGTTCTTAGGCAACGATGATTGGGAAAAAGTGAAAGGTTGGTAAGAGGACTTCTTCCACTGATGTCATCCGGAAATGATCAACCCCGTTATTTTATTTTTGGGCGTTGGATGATTCATCCTAATAGATGCCTTTGATTATCCTCCAGAGCATGAAAATCTTATCTCTGCATGATTGTACTTCTCAAACCTTTTTGTTATAGCATTGCGGAAGTATTCAATAGGATGATTCTTACCCCTTCTTACAATAATCTAGATATGCTTTTGCGATGCTCCACTCTTTAATAAATCCTTTTTCTTTTTCACTGTTTGTTAGTGGATTCTTCTAGTGTCATAGACAGTAAAGTCCTCTGCCTGATGTATATTGTTGACGTTGTATTGGTATTGATGAAATACACTTATCCTGAAAATCAGTTGCAAAGCAATGTATTCCCACCCACTGTATAGTCCACGAGACTATGCAGTTGCAAGCAATGTATGCCCACCCACTGTATAGTGTTTTTTCTCAAATTCATTTTCAACCACATTATCTTAATAAAATGATTTTAGACGTAAATCATAAATTTTTTCGTACTTTTTAATCACATATGTCCCAAAAAAAATGGGTTTAAACAAAACCTAAGCCTCGAACACCATTAGTCATGCAAAATGTTGTTTGGCAAGTTGTTGGCTTGGAAAACAGGTAAGATGAAAATAATTAAAAAAATTAAAGTTCCCTTAATGGGCCTTGTTAGATTGGGGACAAACTTTAAGAAACACTCAAACTTGGGACCTTACCATTATTCCCTTATGAGCCAAAATAAACCTGCTCAGTGACACTGTTGAACCCATTAATACTTTTGAAGGTGATTATAGTGTGATGGTGGTTGCTTTGGAGATTGCTATGGGATGGGATGGTTATTTGATAAGCATACTAATTTGATATGTAAGAAATAGCTAAAAAAGGAAGAGGAGCGAAGATTCTTTGTGCTATTACATCCTTGATCAATAGGAATTTTGTATGTGCTATGATTTGTATTGACAAAGATTATCTGTTTTGCTTGTGTTTGTTCGAAACAGAGGACTCGCAAGATACTAACCGAAAAGATTGCCCAGCTGAATTCTGCCATAGATGATGTTTCAGCTCAACTTCGTGCAGATGACGAACCGAATGGAGCAGCCATAACACCCGATGAACTCGAAGCTTCCATATGATACATACTCTGCATTCTGAAACTGTAATAGTTAATGTTACATTTGACTTTCAGTGGAGTATTAAATATTTGGATTACAGTTTGGATATTCACGTTTGGAGTTCTTCCCATTGCTATTGTATATTGCAGTGTAAGAGGCTTAGCTATTGAGATCAATATGTTGTAAATATGTTCATCAGATATTGTGATGATGGTATATTCACAACTATATGCCTAAACTAGCACCACCACCTTTTCTTAATTTTTTTCAAGGATAGTTTAGGTACAACNATTTATCTACATAGAGAATTAAAATTCATACAATCAATTATTTTTTGAGTAATGTTATGCATCCCTAGTTGGGTTACAAATACAGTTTAGGTAGCTCTAAATGATATGTCAAATGAAATAGAGTCGTCTAAATTGTGTTTATAACCCCTGTGATGATAAATAGCATCACTCTTATTTTTTTTCATTTTTTTTCACCGGTTTCACCCAATTTAGCAGGAGGTGAACGTCTCACCTCCTAAGTAATCACTTCAGATGAGGCGTTCAAGGACTTTCGTCGAGAGACGGCATCGAATGAAAGTTTAGTCGAATATATAGATTTTCTCCTTTGTGATTAGTGATTTTTATACGAGTCACTTGTAACTTCTTTCGTTCACGTTGTAAGAAAGTAAAATTCATTGTAATTAACAATTCTTATACGAATGTAACTTTTTGTTCTCACATTATATTAAAATTTTATATTGGAAATGATGTTAAGTAGAGAAAATTTTTGACAGATTTTTCACCGACGGTGACGTGGTGACCATCTGTTTTGTTTTTATATCATCAATTGAACACCCCAAAGAAATTAAGAAGAAAAGAAAGCACCATTTTATTTGAACTGACCATTTTCTTTCATATATATATTCTCTCCTGTCTCTCTTCGAAACCCTTATTTCAATTCTTAAGATGACAAAATCAGGTTTTTCAAAAGCTCTCAAGTTTCATTACCTTCAATCCCTGGACTTTTAAGCTTGAATCAGATTTATGTAATTATCTTAATTTAGGGTTTTGTTGCATATGCCATATGGTAATTATGATCATATCTGTTTTCAATTGTCAACGAAATTAGAAGCTCATTTATTTGCATTCTTAGTTGTCATAGTGAGGATTCTGATTAGATTGTTTTAACTGGTCTGAGTTCAATTCTGAATAGCTGATTAATTTGGATTCGTTTTTGTGTGATTATTGAATATATTTGTTTTTAGCAGGGATTCTTTAAAATCTGATTTGGTTTTTGTGAATTTTTTTTATGAAAATGGATCTGGAGTAATGTAGCTTAGAGTATTATGCTAGAGGTTAGAATTTCATTGCTGTTTGCAGGTTGAAGGTTGTTTACGCAATTGATTTGGAGATAAATGTAGAAAAAATGGAGATAAATACAGTCAATGTTAATCACTTGGACGTGGATGCCCTTTTGCCACCTAGAAAACGGCTTCTGGCAGGCTTGAAGAGACAGAATTCCGATGTTAATAATTCTAGTAGTACAATGTGTGAATATGATACCCGTGTTAATAATCGATTGAGATCCCACTTGAGTAGCTCTAGTCATTTAAGTGAGGATATTGTTGAAGCCTCGAGATTGGCTGCTATGGAAGCAACAAAGGTTGCAGAGGCTGCAAGAGTTACTGCTGAAGAGAAAGCTGCAAAAGCGGCAAAGGCAGTGGCTGCTGCCAAGAGTGCTTTGGAACTGGTCGACATTCTCTCAGTGGAGGCTTCTAGCAAAGAAAAACATCCGGGAAAAAATAAGATGAAGAAGCGTGATCCTATTCCAACAATTTACAGTAAGCACAAAGGTGTTAGAAATAGCAAAACTGATGAAGAGTTAGCCCGGAAATCGCATCCGGCCTACAAAAGCTCCATGAGAATTTCAAAGAAGTCCTCAAGTTCAGACTTGAAGAATTCCAAATGTAAGAGGGTCAAGAGGTTAACAACCAAGGTTCACAATGGAGGTTCTGTCTTGGATGGGAATCGGCCTTCTATTAGCAATGGGACTGCAACAGTACCAGGTGGAAACTTGATTGCCGTAAATTCAAACTCATCAAAACTCAATAAACTTGACGAAATGAAGGCAGAAACTGGCCAAGGATCGCAGTCTAATAAGATTGACAGGCTTAAGCTGGAAAATGGGGATGCAAAAATTATTCGGTCAAAGGAGAAATTTGTAGAATCATTGGATGATCTTTGTAGTTACAGTAAAACAAGGGGAAAGTTTAAGCGAAAAATGTTGCCATTGAGCATTTGTAATTCTCGGGATCAATAAGCCCCAGAGAGGAGTAGGGCCTTTCGGCAACCGTGTGATACCTGTAAATAGGACATCGACGGGTTAATGGGGGCATTCAAGGTACCCGTTTGCATTAATGAAATAAAGCCTTGCAATGACAGTCGTCATCATAGTCTCATTAAAACATCGGAAACTGCCATTACAGACAGCAGTCAATGCCCAAGGTACTTCTCATTTTGCTTCCTTTTACTCTTGTCAATCTTACTGTAATGGTTATGGGTTTGCTTTGCTTGTATATGTGTGTTGAATAATGTCTAATTCTTTATACAAAATCCGAGCTTGAACTGAAGACATCTATATCAACTTCTTTATTTCTTTAATATCATCAAGTATCATCGAGTCTACTCTACCAAGACCATGTCGGGTTGCTAATGCCAGGGTCACATTCCATGTGAGGTTTTTTATCGGCAAAAGGTGATTGGAGAGGTAGTCGATACGTAATGAGCGCGATGAATGTTTCTTGCACAAGACTTGGGTAGTACAAGTAAAGAGTAAAAGGAGTAACAAGTTAAAACTTTTGATTTAATCGAACACAGAATGCTCAAATAATTTCAAGTCGGATCCATCAAACATTGAGACAAATGGGAAATTGATTTGAATTCTTAACTCTCATGAACCATCACGTTATTGTAAATCTTGTGTCCCCAACTAAACTTCCACATCTATACAGTTCCTAAATAGATTCAACATTGAAAATTTTGGTTTTTTGTTTCAGACTCAATGAATATAATTACCCTTTTTTAATTAAAAGAACCAATTGAATAAAATTGATCCCTTCGTGAGTTTTCTTTCAAGTTCTTGATCCAACTCGATATTCTATATAATATCGTTCAGCTTGTTGATTATGTGTGGTTCTCATTCCCGTTTCCAGTACTTCATTCGCATATTGAAAAGAGTAGTTTTAGCCTACGTTTGGTGGAAATTAAAATAAAATTTTATTCAACAATTAATTTTAATCATACATTTCAAGGAATTCACAACTTTTTAATTACACATTTGATCAACTTTTATTAAAATTTACTGAAGACCTGATTTTAATTCCCACCAAATGTGAGCTTAATTTGTTAGTCCCACTTGGACCATTAAGGCTCTTCAAATGTGAGATGAAATCACTTTTTGATTGAATGAAAGTGAGAGACAGTACAAAAGGGATGCGAAAGCAATAAACGAAAAGGGTGGCACAAAAAGCAAGTTTTTGAATCTCATTGCAAGACGTGCATTGTTTATCATAGCTTATTGGAAAATTATAATGTTTTAAGCATTTGTATGGCATAATTTATTTAAAATTATTTTTTCTCAAACTCGTTTTAATCGTGAACCAAAATAAAATAAGATACAATAAAATAAAATTCACTACAAATAATCTATTGAAACAAACTCAATTTTTTTTTTTCAATACCTACCACAACTCAGACCCCCACACCTACCCAACGTAGGTCCATTGAAGAGGTATAGTTGTAACTTGTAATTACATGAATCATTAGTTCGAGTGCTGGTTAAGTAAAGCTGTATTTTGCTAAAAAGGTAATCAAAGTGGTCGCACTCAGCACTCTATTTTCAATCACACATTTCCCTCATGTTTGGTGTAGGTTGTAATCAATTTTTTTTTTTTAATTTAGATAAAATTTGATAAAATGTGTGGTTAAAAAGTAATGCATTTCATTTTAATGTGCTGTTAACATTATGATTTTTGATTTATTATTTTTTAACCAACTTATTATCTAGCTTCCGTTTGGGATCTATTAAAATGAGATTTTTAAGGAATGTATTTTGGAATATTGATTTTTTGGAGAATGTGTGGTTATAAAATAATAAGAAAATTTGAATTTAACATTTATTTTATGGAAGAGTGTTTAGTTAAAAATAAGTTTATAAAAAAAAAATTAAAAAATGAAGTTCATACATGGGCCTACACTAAACAAGGTGGAATTGCCACATGGGTTGATGGGATCCAAGGAAGACAACAAACTATCCAGGGTACGATATATGTTGAGGAGAGGATAATGGCAAATTTGAGATCAAATAGAATCAATGAAGTCATGCAATCACTTATTCAAGTTATAGAGTCCAAGAGGGTGAAATTAACGGTCAAAGACCAAGTTCTATATTGGGCATGGGAGCAGAAACAAGTTGGGATGCATTGGAATCAAGAACTCAAAACTCGGAGATAAGACGAACTGATATGCGACTGCATAGTACAAACCCGGGTGCAATTGCATGTACCTATACCGAAATCAGGTTGAAAGCTGTTGAATGGCCTATGCGACCGCATTCACTTTCACTATGCGGCTACATAGTACATTTCTAGAAGGATATTTTTCCAAAATTCTCGTAATCTTTTATTTTAGTTAAAACTCTATTTTGTGATATATTTTGTTATTTTTAGAGTTTGATTCCTTTTTAAGTACATTTTATGGGTTCCATATAAATATGACTAATTTCATTCATTGTAAAAAGACATAATTGTTGAGAGATTAATTGCAATGCATAATTGCTTTCTTCTTATTCTTCATTCTATTAATTCAGAACGTATCAAAATTATTTCTTGTGACGCGTTCAAACAAATCGAATGAAATTCTTAAGTTTTGTAATTACGAGATCAACATATTGTCTGCGATTGTATTGGTTCCTTGGTTCAATATTTTTGAATCAAGTTTAAACATTGATTCTTGACTTTTTTGGGGTTGAAT